GCTTGATAACAAAAACTTTTAAAAGTAACTTCTACGTCGTCATAGGCATAAAGCTCATAGTGAAATTTAGGTGATAATAAGTGAGTTCTTCTACCAAGGTCGTAAGTTTGACTTGTCGCTTAAGTGGGAAGCGTCGCTACTAAGTTCCTTCTTAAACTTGCCTGGAGAGGACTCAACAAACTTTGAGACTGTGGCCTGACCAACGTATTTCCAATTACCGGTCAATATTTCATGAATAGCACCAATCGGAGCTCCGTGGGACACTAGAAGAATCGTTGTACCTAAACATTATATTGTGGTTTCAGCAAAACTCCAATTAAAAAAGTGCTCCAAATCACCTCTTAAAAAAGCATATAAGACGACAAATTTCATGCAGGATCTACCTCTAAAATGACAGGTGAAATCATGAGTATAAAACACGACCTAAGCTTACACAACGTGTACACGGATGTACTTTGTGCTGAAACTGTATCATAAAAACTAACTGCTGAAACGTTAAGCCAACAATATTCCACAGAAACTTCAATTCTGTTTAGAACTGATGGATTTCTCAAAGTGAAATAAACAGTAAAAAATTTGGTATACTATCGTAAACAATAATAAAAGCTAAGCAAGTCCTTTTATTGAAAACTTAGTGCTGTAAGCCACATTCAGGAAAAGCGAAAGTATTATAACTTAGTTTTTAAATCCTTACCCAAGCAGAACTCAGTAATTTCAAAAAAAGAAAAACTATCTTAAGAAAAGAAAAACTGAAAAAAAAAAACTTTTTCCGAAAACTATCGTGAGTCAGATATCAAAAATGTACAGTCAAAAATTACGTCAAAAGCCCAGAACTTGTATGTAAAAACGCATCTTTTACTTCTTATAAATCCTACTTCTTATAAATCCTCACTAAGTAAATTTTTTGCCGAGTTATAAGCAGTTACGAACGGGCAATTAGAAGCACAATCCCATCGCAATTCCGGCTTATAATTAACGTTAAGGTTTATCGACTGCGATAGTCCGCTTAGAAAATAACAAAATGCTTGAACCAATAACAATGAAGTAATGCTCATATGACAGTTTCAAGGACGGATATAAAAGGCTGGCAGCAACCAAATGTCTGTACAAAAGCCCATTTGAAAGTTTCTCTAAAGTATCTAGCATAAAAAGAATTGAAAGCACATCACTGAACGCCTACTCTGTTGTGCTGCAGTTTCCAACCACCCTAGATGTACTAGAGAAATTCTAGTCAACTATGAGTCTGCGACTCACAAAATAGATGATATAAAACAATTCTAGCGATCTCGAACTACCTATCTGTCGTTCTGAATATAAGACCAAGACAAAAGTGACTGCCAACTTCTTCCTAATAAATGTAGAAGAAATCAAGGCAAGTTGTGGTAAACTGTGACCCCTGTGGAGCAATAGGGACAGCGTAACAGTTGTCAAACAAGCCGTGTGCAAGCTGCATTAGAAATAATTTAAACTATTGGAAATATTACTTTTAAATTCAAGCGAAGGTTATGTAAAATAAAACAGTTGCTAATGAATCAAATAGACGTAAAAATCTTGTTGTTCTGCAATATAATACTACAACTTTATTTCAGCGATGTTTTAATACGTCTTTTTATTAGATACCGTTTGGAAAACAAAGGTAAATGCTCTTTCTCCCTAAAAGGTCCAAATTTTCTCATTTTTTTCATTACTTCTCTTAAACCACACATTAAAAAGATATTTCAAACGCTCCTTCGGGAAAATCCAAGAAGAAACAGCGACGAATGTTCCATATGAAATAAGAAGTTTGTACATGACAAAAATACGGTACTAAGCACTGTAGAATCAGTGAAAAAAAACATAAGGGTCAGAAAATTTTGAAGCTTTAGTAACTAACAGGTCTGAATGCAAAAAATTACCGCAGAGCTAAGCTTCAGCCAAGACTAATTTTCACGCACAACCACGAAAACTCTATCAAGAATGAAAAACCCAGAATAAATCGCAAAAAATCAAATCATCAATCATCAATCACCATATCTAGTTATAAGTCTTACAAAAAAAAGAGTTATGATGCACCTGGAAACTTTTCCGCAATGCCATCCAGTGTCCGCTGTACACGACTAGTACAAGCATCATCTCCAAAACCTTCTTTGGGGAGTTTCCAAGGCATGATCGGTTCATACTCAGTATCAACCAAAGGATACTTTTCTTTTAGGACTTGGAGAGATTCATACCCGGGAGGATTTTCACAAAGATATAAGGCCTAAAAACAAAAAAAAGGTATATAAAACACATAAAGTGCAAAAAAAAAGTTCGCTGCTTAAATAATTAATATTTAAAATGTAAGACCTTCAAGCAATAAAGTCAACTGTTCAAAAGAACCACGGAGAGGAACCAAGGAAACAAAGAGATTCACCTAATTCGTGAAATAAGTGGAAAAAAATACCTCACTAGTTCTTCAGTTCACAAAAAGCGATAAACAAGGAGAAAACAAATTGGACTAACTTCAACAAGCCCAGGCTCGACTTTGATCGGAACGTTCTTGTCTTTCAGAATACGTGTAGCAGTTTCAAGACACCTGTCGAACGGCGACACAATTACGTGGTCCAAATGAACCTTTTCAAAACGTACTCCCACTTCATCAGCTTGCCCTGAAAAGTGGTAATGGCTTTTAATCAACAAGAAACTGAACAGCATTCCTATCCCTTCGGTAATTAAAAGCAGTTAAAGTATAATACCGTACTGAAGTACTCTAAAAAAAATATTTGCCAAACATAAACCACGAGCTCAATAGCACTAATCACTATGTACCTTGTCCACGTTTGGACAAAGGCGAGTTGTCGGATTTCAAATTTGAATGCTTCCTCCATTCATGGCTAATATTATCCTCACGTTCTGCGTGCCGAACGACCCAGTAGGTTATACCAGTCATTGTTCCCTTGGAAGTTCCGATGTCTGTCCTGCAGATTGGCAAAACAATAGCTAAAAGTGTAACAAGCCACCATACAACGCAGAACGCTCCTATCAAAAGCACAACACCCCGGGTAACCATCACTAATTTGGCAATTTTTCCCCGCTACTTCGTCCTCGTACTGTACATGATACGCACATACACATAAGTCAACTACGTTTAATTTCTCTCACGATGTGTACCCACGTATTTCAGGCGTAATTGTAATGCTAATAAAAAGTTCCTTGATCTTTTATTGGAAATAACAAGTGTCACAGCATGGTCAAAATGGGAATAATACAATAGCCTGGGTTTGACATAAACAAAATTAGGCACATTCGACATTACTACAGTAGTTCCGTGACTACGTATGCCGCATTTCTGCAAGCTTTCAAACCTAGAAACAGAGGAGGATTTTAAAAAACACCAATTTCACACCCCTTTGTATTGATTACTGGTTTTAGAAATACAATTTTAAATTTTCCAAAAAATAGCCAAAATGACTGCAGCCCCAGACCAAAACCCAAAAAAATTTCTGCTGCCTATGTATAATTGCGCCAGTAAGAGTGAACTGATCCGTAGAATTCCATTCGGAGTGTCGAATTTCCGCTACTTTTTCAAGTTATAGTTCCTCAGTCGTACCTTCAGAAGTTTACTAACTTTTGAGAGCTTCGAACGTCAAACTTCCAGATAAATGTATAAGAAATATTAAATAAGATGTTGGAATGGTGGATTAAGACTCTAGCAATTAGCGCATTTAATGCTCCAGAAAATGCTTTACAAGTGTGGAAAAAGCTGCAGAAGTAAGTAGGTGAATTAAACCTTGCCGTGCCTTTCAAAAGCTTTGCTTGCGGATCCATAATTCTTCTGAACACTGAAGAGAAACGCAAATAAGTAACGAAATGTGAGACAGAAAAGTGACAAGACTTGAGCAATGATATTCGAAAAGCGGCTCAACACTTAGGCTTGAAACTGGGTTTACTTTTCAGAACGGAGTTCGGAGCATGCGAAAAGCTGCAGAACAAACTCCGTCCAATTTCGAATTAATGGCTGCACTTTCCGTTACATTTTTAACTTCTCTTCCTGACTTTTGCAGCGAAGTAAATCTTGGACCTGACATTTTGCCAACTCCAGATTTCGTGGCTCTATGGCCTCACTTTCGATGAATTAAACTTGTCTGGTCGGAAGTTGCGAAGTAGTTTGTGTTATTTTTTTTACTTTAGAGTGTTTAATGTAAACGGCTTCCTGACTTAGTGCGCATCGCTTTTACTGCTGTGAATTTGCCGAATTGAACAGAATGCAAATAGTTTTTCAGTAATATTTGGAATTTCCGTAGGATGAGTGCTGACTAGCAAGTTTCAAAGCCAATTTTTCTATAAAATATTACTATAAATTTTCCTGCCCTCCCGTCCCCTCAATGGTCATACAGCTAATTTTCTCTGCTTTTAAAATTTAGTTTACTTTTTCTGTCCTCCAGGTTTCGGTAACCAATAGTGTTTGTCTAACAGTATCGGGCTGCAGTTCAAGCTGGAAGGGTTTTTGGCTAAGCAGACTTGAAATTTTTTTCTCTTTCTTTTTCTTTTCAAGTAACTTTCTAATTTTTATTCCCCTTCTCAGCTTTCAGGGTTCATGCAATTAATTTCAATTCCAGCAATATCAAAAAAAAAAGGATTGATTTTACATTTGGCTTGAAATGCATTGGGAATTAGAGAGGTCACTTCTCGAAAAGCATAGAAACGTTAGTATTTTGTTCATCTTGACGACACATTGGTAGGAAAGGAGGGCTTGTTAGAAGACTGTCCTTCATTATGAGTAATAATTATTTGAGAAGAAATTGGTTTGAAATAGACTGGCTGAATCAATATGGAACGTGTAGTCGAAAGGCATTTTAATGAAATTGGAAAAACGAAAGAGTACTGTTAGTGGGTATTGCAGAAAGTGATAAAAATGAAGGAAATTTACTTGCTTTGTCGCTTATCTAATACTATAAGCTTGTTGCCCAAGCTGTTTGGTTTTGAATCGCATTCTGACTTTAGTGAAAAATGTTCATTTGAAAGGTTAAGTATAAAAACTCTTCTTCATTATTCTTTTAAAAGTCGAATTTCAAGATGGAAAGGCTGTATTGTTTACTTCGTGTTATTACGAACGACTTTCTTTTATTGTAACGTTCCGGGATGTACCAATTCCATTTAATCAAGGACTTGTGGTGTAGTGCATTCGATCAGGCTGCAGTTTGGTGCAACAAAAATTTATAGTCAATAGCCAGAATCTTTGCCTGCTACCTGTACTTCCAAGGTTATGCTCTACTCAGTGCTATTTTTTTTGGTTAAAAAATAAGCCATAACAAAATTTCTGGCTATAAGGTGCTCATGAGAAATGTTTAACTGAGCGGAGACCGAAGAGCAGAAAAATTCTGAGAAATAGTGGCTCAATTTTTTCCTGAGAAACTTTCTTAAGTGGACTTTTTAAGTAAATTTTTTTTGTTTGTAGCGATCAGTTATTTATTTAAAATGAAATCTTTGTGTGTAACAATAAAATTTCACTCATTTCTTTTCTGTGTAGTGGTGAAGAATTTGCTGGTACATTACTGCTCTCCATTTTCATCTTTCAAACTCGAAAAGCTGAGAAAATTTCTGGTTGATGACGGGAAAAAACTATTTTGAAATTTATAGGTATTGTTTTGCTTAAATATTTTTGACGAGAGGGTAGGAAACAATATTTTTCATGTTTACTAAACAGATTAGTGACTTGATTATTAGTTTGACAGAATTTGTGCTTCGATGACTTGTTTGACGCAGTTTTGAAGTATAAATCATCACCTTTTTGCGACGATTGTTTCAAGTCATTAAAAAAGCTTTGAGATGAAATGATTGATTGATGGTTCTCAGCAAACGAGTACGGTACTTCACTGTCTAAATTTATGGTTTTTTGTCGAGACGGCACATCAAAGATCACAAACTGCAGAAGGTTTTTCATGCAGCTCGTTGGTACTGTTATGTAACCTTTGTTTTGGAATTGGTATTTATGAGACCTTAGAAGGGGTTCTAGGGATTGAAGCCTTGAACGTGGGTGGAATCAGGAAAGGTGTTGTTTGTATTTTGGTATTATACTATAATATTTTTCCAGACAGTTCTCAGTGTAAATTGACCTCTAAATTTCTTACGGCGTACTTGGCATAAAAATTTCTTCTTAGTTTCTATGCTATTAATCGTTAGCATACTGGCTACATTAAAAAGGTTTCTTATATATAACAGTACGTAAGGAGAACGTTCACAATATTAAAATTTATCAGTATGTTGTTTTTATGACTTTAATAAAATTAGCAGAAGAAAATTTTATTTATCTACATTAAGGCATGTTCAACAGGTACTGAAAATAATGTTTTGAAATTATTGATGAATTATAGGTGAATTATAAATTAGAGGCGGAACTGTTTGGTTAAGCTAAGTGATAAGTTTATGGATGTTTATTTCTGTTGTTATTTGTTTAATTTGGCATCTGATCACTGTTATTGTTAAAAGGCATTAATAGTGACAAACTGGTACAAAAGAATCTTTGGATTTTTAAATTCTACAAAATTAATGGACCGCAGGCCAGTTTAGTAGTACATTAAGAAGTGTTAGTTTGATCGGAAAAGAAATTGTATTGAGAAACTGTGAAAGAAACAATAAATATTTAGCAAAAATTTATATTCAATTTAATGTATTGTGATATCAATAAATTTACGGATTTTTAGAAGGTGTAACTGGATTTGGAGTCAGATTTAATTAGGTTTATCAGATTACTGCATTTTCCTTGTTTAATCAAATGAGTTTTTCAAAACGGTATTAAGCATAACAGAAGCCTGATCAAACCAAGTTATTCTAAAATGTTTGCAGCGGTTTAAGGAACTTTGTCTTGTAAAATAACTAGGCTACATATATTTTTGACAGTACACTGTAGGAGAACTTGGAAGACGATGCAGCAGGAAACTTCTGTGTGGAACTTTTGTTTGTTGCCTTTATGAAAACTTTAAAAACTTGTTAACAAACCAGTTTTTGTAAAAGAATATTTTTATACAGAGAAGACTTGTCTCGCAAATAGAGCGTCATTCTAAAACAGGTACCATCTTAAAACCAACATTATTTGAAAAAGATTTGTTTTACAAAAGTTGAAAATCTCGTATCATGACTGTGCTGATCTTTTCTCTGTGTCGGCCTTTTCTAGGGACATTAATGGCTTCCTATTGTTTGAATCATGATTCACTTTTGATTATAAATTGCTGAAAATTTAAAATAGAAAAACAGTTTTTATCATAATATTAGAAAAGATACTGCAGACAGGACCAATTTTATTCCACACTATACTTAATAAAAGAACAGTAGATTACGGGAGGCTTCAAAAAATTTTCATTTAAATGCATATTCTATCTGCTCTGAGAACGGCTCATAGATTAGATCTATACTGCATGTAATTTGCTGAGTAGGACAATCTGTTTTTTTCGGTTTATAGAAGCTCTAATCAGCAGTAGACCAGAGTCTGAGGCACTGATACGTTTTTGGGAAGTTTTAGATGCGTTTTTTGGATTATCATACAAATTTAATAAAGTCCTCTGCTGAACTGTTTACAGCA